CAACACTTTCACCCAGTTCTCCTATGAATCATTCAGATGTTCATTGGCAAACTTCAGACAGGCCTCTACATGTGCTTTCTTGAGCAGGGGGACCTTGCAGGCACTGCAGGATTTCAGTCCTTCACAACCTAGTGTGTTACCAATTGTTTTCTTGGTTACTATGGTCCCAGCTGCCTTGGGATCATTAACAAGATCCTCCCGTGTAGTTCTGGGTTGATTCCTCACCGTTCTCAAGATCATTGAAACTCCACAAGGTGAGATCTTGCACGAAGCCCCAGACCGAGGGAGACTGACAGTTATTTTGTGTTTCTGTGAATAATCGCACCAACTGTTTTCACCTTCATAAACCAAGCTGCTTGGCCATGGTCTTGTAGCCCATTCCAGACTTCTGTAGGTCTACAATCTTGTCCCTGACATCCTTGGACAGCTCTTTGGTCTTGGCCATGGTGGAGAGTTTGGAATCTGATTGATTGATTGCTTCTGTGGACAGGTATCTTATACAGGTAACAAGCTGAGATTAGGAGCACTCTCTTGTTACTGGTATAAAAGACACCTGGGAGCCAGAAATCGTGCTGATTGATAGGGGATCAAATACTTATTTCTCTATTGGCATGCAAATCAATTTATAACTTTTTTTTTTTTTTTGTTATTCCGTCTCTCACTGTTAACCATGTAAGGACACAGCTTCAGAAGCTTGTCTTACCCTTAAGGACACAAGCAACTATTGTATTTTATGATGTTTGTGTTCAACCACAATTTGCATCTTTCTAATTTATTGAACCAACACATATTATACACCTTTTTTTTTTTTTTTTTTTTTTTTAAAGGACAAAATGGGCTTTAATTTGATGTGACATATACATATATAAATTCTCATCTATTATAAATATATACAAAAAAATTCAAAAAAAAGGGAAAAAAGTTTTTTTCACAGTTTTGACAATAACATGTGCATAATTAGTACAACTTAACAAAAGTAATTAAAAATAAATTAATTTAGTTGTTCTGATTTATAATATATATAAAAACTCTAGGATTTCAGTTTGTTTTTGGCAGTTACTGGTCATAAAATACAAGTAGTAAATAACATTTTAATATGGAATTTTAGAAAACAAAATTGCCACACAAAAGTATTTATTTTTTATAAAGCAGACATCACAGGTTATTTACCTACAGGTATTATTACACTTTTTATGTAGTCATTTAACAGCCAATATCTGCAACATGTGTGTGTGTTTGTATGTATCTGTATATGTGTGTGTGTTTGTATGTATGTGTGTGTGTTTGTGTATGTGTGTCTATATGTGTGTCTGTATGAATATTTCTCTGTCTGTGCGTGTCTGTGTGTGTCTGTATGTATGTGTCTGTGTGTGTGTGTGTGTATATGTATGTGTGTTTGTATGTATGTGTGTATGTCTGTGTGACGAAGTGTCCTTCGCCACTTGGTCCTGGAGAGGCCTGCTTGCCAGCCTCTTGCCCTGTGACTAAGGCCCTGGGGTGTATGGTCCTTTAAAACTATTATTTGGGCTTATGGACTTTTATGGTACTGGTGCTGGCCCTTTAAGCACATTATTGGGACATAGTGAGAATTGGAACAATGCCCCTTTAAAACTGTGTCCCCAGAGTCCCCAGACTGTGAAAATAACTTGTACACAGGGCCGGACTGGGAATTAAAAGCAGTCCTGGAAAAAAAATATTTACCAGCCCCATAATGCGTCGCGCCAGCATAGTGTGCAGATACAGAGTTAGAACAGATAAATTAAAATTAAAAAGTACTTCAACGTAAAAAGCGCACTCATAGGCTTCAAAATAAATAAAAGTGCAGATTTATTTTAAGCAGACGTGCCTTTGCATGTAATCAATGTTTCAGTCCAACTACCTTGACATATTAAGGAAAGCTTGTTAATGGGACTGAAATGGTGAATGTATGTAGGGCATAACTGTAAAAATTTTGTGCTCTTCACTTTAAATATGTTATTGTGCTGGAGTATGCACCTAGCAACAAGACTGGGCCAATATCTGCTCATTACATATGGTACATATTAATGAAATTTCTCTGTGTATTATGCACTTATAAATGTACATTAATATGTGTAAATATACTATATATATATATATATATATATATATATATATATAACTAATATACATGTCATATACCAGTGACGGATCCAGAGCCTGAGCCCGGGAGGGGCACTTGTAGAATATATAAAGAAATATTACATGCACAATAACCACTACTCCTCTGTGTAGTGGTTATGGTGCCAGGAGTGTCGGCACCCCCTCCCAGAGTAAGTAGTCAAACCGTTTAAGAACAGTTTGGCAACTTACCTGGAGTCTGCTGGGATATGGGGCTGTAGTAGGGTATAGGAGCAGTGGTGCAATGTGTGAGGGGTGCAATGTGTGTGAAAGGTTCAGTGTGTGGGGGCAGTGTGTGAATGTGTATGGTGAGTGTGTGTGTGGGGGCAGTGTGTGAATGTGTATGGTGTGTGTGGGGGCAGTGTGTGAATGTGTATGGTGTGAGTGTGTGTGGGCAGTGTGTGTATGGGGCTAGAGTTCACTCCTACTACTGCGACCACCAGGAAGTGGTGAGAGTGAACTCTAGCCCGTAGCTCCAGGGCTAGAGTTCGCCCTCGTGAGAGCCGGAGCGTTGCCCCGGGTCCTCTCTTTCTCCCCCTCACTGCTCCTCTGTGTCAATGTCTCCCCTCTCCTTCCCAGTCTCTCTCTTCCCCCTCTGCCTCTTTCTTCCACTCCCCTTGTGTCTCTCTCATTTCTCCCTCTTTCTCTCTCTCTTCCCCCTCTGCCTCTTTCTTCCCCTCCCCTTGTGTGTCTCATTTCTCCCTCTTTGTCTCTCTCTCTCCCCCCTCTGCATCCCTTCACCCCCTTTCTCTGTGTCTCTCCCTCCCCCTTTCGCTGTGTCTCTCCCTTCTCTCTCCCTCCCTCCTTTCCCTGTGTCTCTCCCCTCTCTCTCCCTCCTTTCCCTGTGTCTCTCCCCTCTCTCTCCCTCCCCCTTTCCCTGTGTCTCTCCCCTCTCTATTCCCCTCACCATCTCTCCCATCTCCCTCCCTCCCTCCTTTCCCTGTGTCTCTCCCATCTCCCTCCCTCCCTCCTTTCCCTGTCTCTCCCATCTCCCTCCCTCCTTCCTTTCCCTGTCTCTCCCATCTCCCTCCCTCCTTTCTTTCCCTGTCTCTCCCATCTCTCTCCCTCCCCCCTTTCCCTGTCTCTCCCATCTCTCTCCCTCCCCCCTTTCCCTGTGTCTCTCCCCTCTCACCATCTCTCCCTCCCCCC